TGACAGCTCTTTGGTCTTGGCCATAGTGGAGTTTGGAGTGTGGCTGTTTGAGGTTGTGGACAGGTGTCTTTTATACTGATAACAAGTTCAAACAGGTGCCATTAATACAGGTAACGAGTGGAGGACAGAGGAGCCTCTTAAAGAAGAAGTTACAGGTCTGTGAGAGCCAGAAATCTTGCTTGTTTGTAGGTGACCAAATACTTATTTTCCACCATAATTTGCAAATAAAGTCATAAAAAATCCTACAATGTGATTTTCTGGATTTTTTTCTTCTCTATTTGTCTGTCATAGTTGACGTATACCTATGATGAAAATTACAGGCCTCTCTCATCTTTTTAAGTGGGAGAACTTGCACAATTGGTGGCTGACTAAATACTTTTTTCCCCCACTGTATCTCTTAACACCATCCATATAGGATTTCTATTTGCCATAGATATTTCAACTGTACTGTGATGTTTTACAAAAATGAACCTTTGAACCTCTGAACCTTTCTATTCTCATTGTTTCTACAGATTGTGAATTAAAAATAAAAAATTTTGCTAAAAGTATTATTATATTATTGATCGATTGACTATGACTTTTCAGATCACCCAGTAATGCTATCTGCAAGGTTAGCTCCAGGTAAATATTGCAATCCTTAAGCCATTCCTGGACCTGTGTCCAAAAACAAGCTACAAATGGACAGTACCAAAACAAATGATCTAATGATTCTGTCTCTTCGCAGCAAAATCTGCAGAGCTGGGAAGATTGTATCCCCCATATAAATAACATTCTATTGGTAGCAAGAATTTTATATAATAATTTAAATTGAAAGATTCTAATTTTTGAATCCATTCATTTAAGTTAGTCATTGAGTGCTTTGTCTGATATATCTGATAAGCATGCTGTTTTCTTAGAGTTGTATTTTTGTATGATATGAGTTTGGGTCCAAGTATCTTCCTGACTATCCTGGGCCCAAGTACCCATAACACCCTCTGTTTCCCTCAGACATTTCTAAACTAGAGAAATGTGTCAAAAAGGTCAGCAGACACTGCAGACACTATATAGTTTACTAAAGGCCAGTGGATACAACTCAAGCCCTGTTTAATGTCCATAAGCCAACTTCTCCCATTTCGTTTTTTTATCTTTGACCACTTATCTTTATTCAACCATCCATCAGACAGACACTGGGAGTCCTGGCAGGGCAGTATTGAGTGCTTGTCCAGAGTGCTCAGAGTGTTTCTATGCACTGTTGAAATGGTCAGTTATGAATGATTGAGAGGCACTCATCTTATTAGGGTGGATAGAGGCCTCTCTCTGCCACTGTGTCGGACTGTAGACATTGGATGCATCTGAAATGGCACCCTATTCCCTATACAATGCACTACTTTTGATCAAGGCCCATAGGGCACAGCCATTGCATTGAACATGCCAGAAGATGAGGAGGGGTGTTCTTCTGAATGAAAATGATTATGTAGTTATTATTATTATTATTATGAATTACATTGTTGCTCATTTACTTACTTGCCCTATATAGCTTGGTTGACTATTTTATCTCAATAAATATGAGTGACTGCATGGTTATAAAGATTAAACGATAGCAGCTTCTTACAATACATGTTCATATTCCTTGTTGCAACACAACTTGAATTGAAGTTACACAGGGATTTTGTGAGAGCAACACAGAGAGGAGCTGGGCTAATTTGCCTGCACTTCTCTGATTGAGCCCTGTGGGAATAGTCGTTTGTTTCTCAATGAAGTCATCAGAAAGAATCAGTCCTCCAGTCTCACTAATAGCATCAGAGTTGTCTCATTACATTATGGAAAGCCAATAGAAATCACAGATATTCATTAGAGGAGTAGCAACCCGCTACAGCTGTTTAAACAGTGGGAGGGTTGTAGTGTAGACGGTGATCTAAGGTCAGGGTTAAAGTATGGATTTGAGGATGGTAAGCTATATCTGTCCATCTACCTGTAGTGTTTAACCTTTTACTGCAGTGGCCTGAATAAGGGTCACACAGAGTGTTTCTTGGTAGTCTTAAATACATCTACTTTGAGACCAACGTATACACACATGGTTATGGTCTTTAAAAAGAAGACACCTGTACCATGTCAGATATAGAGTTGAAATGTATTACATTTTGAGTTTGCATCCCAATATTACACTTTATATACATAATGGAATACTGAAAAATATAAAAACCGTTTGACAGAAACCCATCAGATTTTCTGTGTTAAAAAAAAGAAGAATGTTTATTAATTATGAAATTATGAAAAATATGAATAACATTCCACCCATGAGGCCACTAGGTCATTTGACTGCAGGAAAGGGCTACATGTGATGACAATGTTTAGTTGGTATGATGTCCCATTTTAGTTTGGTAGAAATGATTGGAAACCATTGTTGGTGACTCATCCAATGTGGCTGCCAGCTAAATTGTCGTAGCCGGCCGCGACCGGGAGACCCATTGGGCGGCGCACAATTGGCCAAGCGTCGTCCAGGGTAGGGGAGGGAATGGCCGGCAGGGATGTAGCTCAGTTGGTAGAGCATGGCGTTTGCAACGCCAGGGTTGTGGGTTCGAGTCCCACGGTGGGCCAGTATGAAAAAGAAAAAAATAATGTATGCACTCACTAACTGTAAGTCGCTCTGGATAAGAGCGTCTGCTAAATGACTAAAATGTAAACTCTCTTTTTGTCACCATGTGCAGGTGGACCCTAAGCAGTGTTTGAGTGTCATTTATAAGGGACCATAATATATGTATGTAGCATACAGAGTATATACTATTTGGCGTTAAACAGTCAGCTTCAAGTGATTGGAATTCTATCTGTGCTGTAGAAATGAAACAAGTATACTGAACAAAATATAAACGCAACATGCAACAATTTCAACAATTTAACTGAGTTACAGTTCATATAAGGAAACCAGTCAATTGAAATATATTCATTAGGCCTTAATCTATAGATTTCACATGAGTTGGCAGGGGCGCAGCCATGGGTGGGCCTGGGAGGGAATAGGCCCACCCACTGTGGAGCCCAGCCAATCAGAAGGACTTTATTACAGACAGAAATACTCAATTTCATCAGTCCCGGTGGCTGGTCTAAGAGGATCCCGCAGGTGAAGAAGCTGGATATGGAGGTCCTGGGCTGGCATGGTTACACGTGGTCTGCGGTTGTGAGGCCGGTTGGACGTACTGCCAAATTCTCTAAAACGACGTTGGAGGCGGCTTATGGTAGAGAAATGAACATTCAATTCTCTGACAACAGCTCTGGTGGACATTCCTGCAGTCAGCATGCCATTTGCACGCTCCCTCAAAACTTGAGACATCTGTGGCATTGTGTTTTGTGTCAAAACTGCACATTTTAGAGTGGCCTTTGATTGTCCCTAGCACAAGGTGCAGCTGTGTAATGTCAGGTGGATGGATTATCTTGGCAAAGGAGAAATGCTCACTAACAGGGATGTAAACAAATTTGTGCACAAATTTGAAGAGAAATAAGCTTTTTGTGCACATGGAATATGTTAGCAGCCCAGATGTAGGATCTTAATTGGACCAGTATTGTCACAGCAGAATAATCCTGCAGCAACAGGATTTGAACGTTTAGTCCATAATGTTGGTTGAACGGGGGTTTGGCTATTAGCTGGTCAAAATTAGGTTACATGAAAAGTTAAATACTGTTAATATAACCTTGTGTTAGTGCGGGTTTTCAGTGAATTTCTGTAAATCACAAAGCTCATCTGCATTTCCTGCGGTGCAGGAAAATTCTCAGCAACAAAATAGTGATCAAATAAAGATCCTACATCTATATGTGATTGAGGTCTAAAATGCCCTCTTCCCAGAAACAGTGTGTAGGCAGCAGCTCTGGGAGTGTGTCCATCTCTCTGTACAGCTCTGGGAGTGTGTCCATCTCTCTGTACAGCTCTGGGAGTGTGTCCATCTCTCTGTACAGCTCTGGGAGTGTGTCCATCTCTCTGTACAGTTCTGGGAGTGTGTCCATCTCTCTGTACAGCTCTGGGAGTGTGTCCATCTCTCTGTACAGCTCTGGGAGTGTGTGTCCATCTCTCTGTACAGCTCTGGGAGTGTGTCCATCTCTCTGTACAGTTCTGGGAGTGTGTCCATCTCTCTGTACAGCTCTGGGAGTGTGTGTCCATCTCTCTGTACAGCTCTGGGAGTGTGTCCATCTCTCTGTACAGCTCTGGGAGTGTGTGTCCATCTATCTGTACAGCTATGGGAGTGTGTCCATCTCTCTGTACAGCTCTGGGAGTGTGTCCATCTCTCTGTACAGCTCTGGGAGTGTGTCCATCTCTCTGTACAGCTCTGGGAGTGTGTCCATCTCTCTGTACAGCTCTGGGAGTGTGTCCATCTCTCCCCACACTCTCAGTGTATCAAAGCTGCCAGTTTAATTCATTTACAGCCTGTGCCGTGGTCGGATATCCATTACGGCTTGGAGTGTGTGTGTGCATGTTTGTGAGTCTGTGTGTATGTGTGTGTGTGTGTGTGCGTGTGCGCAAGCTCGCGCGTGTGTCATGAGCAAAGACTTTGTTAGGATCTATTTCTGCTAACACATTAAAATCTCGGTCGATGGTAGTCTGCCACCTGACAATAATCTCCTAATTACCTTTGAGGGTGGTGTGTGTCCCTCGCACCAAAAGGTCAACAGTCAGACGGTTCTTTAAATGGCAGTTACAGAGCCATTATTACCACTTCAGCGGTGCAGACTGACATTTAACTTTTCTTAATTGGCCCTAAGTTTTGGTAGAAATCAATATATGTTCATCAATATAGAGACAACATCTGACATACTCTGACTACTCAACGCCATTGCTCACCATTGAGAAAATCCTGTTCAAGCAATTCAGTTTCTGTTCAGGCAAAATTTAAGCAATTCAGTGTTGACTATGGTATCTATCTTATAAAGTGTCTGTTCCTTCTCCATCAAGTATTCACATCTGATTCAGAACAAGTGAATGCTTTGTGATGCTTTGTCTCCTCTGGCAGTCTCAACTGTTTTCCTACCCACTTCTCATGGGCCATGAAACATTCATAAGGTATAAATCTCTAGCAGCTCGCAGGTAAGAATCTCTAAGTGAAAACAAGGAGCAGCTGTGTTTGAAACAGTCTGACTCCATACAAGATGTTTATTCTGCCGTATAGCTGCAGCTTTCAAGGTTTTAGTCTTGATCTCAATTCTCAAACTCCCATCGCTACCTGTGAGGGGGGCTACTATTTCTTCCAGTGCCCAAAACGGTTCCCCTACTTTATTTGACTACGGGAAAATGTAGAAAATACTGCAGTGTGGGTTGATCTGTATTAGAAGAAGTGATTCTATATACATAGTAGGGGATCTCTCTGACTAAACTCTCATCTTTAGCCTATATTCCCCTTTTTGATTTAGAAGGAATCCTCTAGGGATTGGATGTTCGATAAGTTGATAATTTTCTGAAGAAGTACAGTAGAGCGCAATGAAACAGGCTACTTAAATGTAGCTATTTGTTATGTAGTGAAAGGAAGGTACCAAGGTATGAATATTCAGGAGATAGGGAGGCCTAGCAATAAGATGAGAAATATCTCTTCACTATTATTCCGCATTAGAAATGAGATAGCCCACTGTGCTCTCAGCTCATTAGGATCACTGTTTAGAGAGAACGTTATTAGAGTTTCCTATCTTCTAAAGCTGGCTATTTTTAAAAGTGAGAAATATGATATTTTCTTCACTCTTTTCATCAACCCATTTCCACCTTTTTTTTCTCTCACGTGGTCAAATAATTATAGCTCATTGCCACCATCTATCTCATCAGTGAGTGTTAGATAGAGGGAGTGAAAGTGAAAGACGTGTGCCAGTCTCACTCTCTCAAACTCTCCCAGTTCTGTCATAACAGATTGGAGGAATTGTATTGAAACTAACGTCTCTTTCTGTCTTTGCTGCTGCAGGAACTTCTACTACATCACCATGCTGAGGGACCCTGTCTCCCGCTACCTGAGCGAGTGGAAGCACGTGCAACGCGGCGCCACCTGGAAGACAGCCCTGCACATGTGTGACGGCCGCTCTCCCACCCAGGACGAACTGCCCGCCTGCTACAGTGGCGACGACTGGACCGGGGTCACCCTGACCAACTTCATGGACTGCCCGTCCAACCTGGCCAACAACCGGCAGGTCCGCATGCTGGCCGACCTCAGCCTGGTGGGCTGCTACAACGTCTCCTCCTTTACCGCCGGCGCCGAACGGGAGCGCGGCCGCGTCCTACTAGCCAGCGCCAAGAACAACCTCCGCAACATGGCCTTCTACGGCCTGACCGAGTTCCAGCGCAAGACGCAGTACCTGTTTGAGCGGACGTTCGGCCTGCGCTTCATCCAGGCTTTCACGCAGATCAACAGCACGCGGGCAGCCAGCGTGGGGGTGGGGGAGGGGGCTCTGCGGCGGCGCATCGAGGGGCTCAACGCCCTGGACATGGAGCTGTACGAGTACGCCAAGGAGCTGTTCCTCCGGAGGTACCAGTACAGCCGCCAGACACAGCACCGGGAGCAGAGGCTGAGGAGGAGGCAGGAGAGGCAGGAGGAAAGGGAGCGGCTACATCAGCACAGAGCCCCCATCTCCAAATCCAGGAGGGAGGAGGAGGAGAGGGAGATAGAGGGGGAGGAGGTGGGAGGTGTGGCCACCACAGAGGACTACAGCAGCCAGGTGGTGAGATGGTGAGGCCGTAACACCCATGCTAGGACTAGTACTTCCTGTCAGTTTCGCTCTCTCTCTCTCTCTCTCTCTCTCTCTCTCGCTCCCTCTCTCTCTCTCTCTCTGCCTTGGGCTGCCCAATGGTGTCTTAATCTTTCAGATGGGTGTATTTATTATTACTATGTATTATGATGTGGTCAACTTTTGTTTCTTCTCATGCAGAGTTTATTGTGTCTGTCCTTCAAAGTAAGTGAACAACTCTAGGGTGTCAAATGGACATTCAACAAGATTTTATCAGAATCTCCATGGGACTGTACATAATCAAAATGAGCGCCTCAGGATTCTTTAAAAGTAATGTGGTTCGCTTAGGGTTGCAAAGGGAGGGTATATTAACAGAAACTTTCGAAGTGTACCAGTAAACTACCAGAATTTTGATAGCTTTCTTTTTGTATTTTACCAGATGACATCTACTGGCCATTTTGGGTACTTCATATTATCACAGGTGTCTGTAATAATCTATGGCCCTCTATTTGGCCTTATCACATGTAAAATGTATAAAATGAAATAAGATGATTCTAAAATAAGAAATTGAATGGAAAACCTGTAAAATATTATCCTGATATAAACCATCAACTTGAATACCATTGGTGTTTAATATGAGGGTTTCAGCATTAAACACCTTTATATATTTTTACACACTTTTATTTATTTTACTATCTCTTTGTTGTAAATGTTTTGGCGCCAAACTGGTGACAGTTGTGAAAAAAAGTCAATAGTTGGAAGAGTTGTAGTGTTAAATGAAAAATAATGCCATTCTTGATTAGATGCTTTTTTTTCATTAATTAGGCTATTTTCTCTTGAACCAGTCACAGATATAAAAAATGTATACATATATGAATATCTAGCTTTTTAGTTATTCGAGTAAATGACCAAAGTTACCATAGATGACATGTTAATTACTGAAAACTCCGGTAACTTTGGTGAATTACCGGTAGCTTTGCAACCTAGGTTCTCTCTCTGGACTTGCTCATGATATCTACAGTAAGATATGATAGTAATAACACAATAAATGATTCATTAACCCCCTCCCATACTTTGGTTATTTAGGACAGGACTTGTATTAGTTTACCTTGTAAGTTTGCTTTCCAACTATGAGTTAATATGTACAGTATGATGGTATTCAACACATTCACCTGTAGGAAAGCTGTTCAATAAATGTACGCAGCATACCACTGATTTCCAAGCTTTCCAAAACATGTCCTTTTTTCTGCCCTGTTCACATTGTGAACAAAGAACAATGACATCCACTTCTCTTTGCACGCTTTCCCTGTCAAATCCACACACACACACGCACGCACGCACACACACACACACACACAAACACGCACACGTAGACACACACACACACACACACACTCACTGTATGATGGAACTCTAGAAATAAACTCCGGGGGGGGGGGGACACAATAGGCTGGCTGTCTGAACCAATTAATGTTCTCTTACATCATGGTGGTGTAGAGCAGCCTTTAGCCATTAGTTGTGGTTACAGGCAGTTCAGGGTGAAACGGAGTGTTTAAAGTGCGATTGAGCTTGACTCCAACACAGCACAATAAAGAGTAGGCTATCTTAATGCCTTTCTCCTTCATCTGGGTACATAGTCACTCTGGGGATTTCTACACACCAGGGAGGCTGGAGAGAGTATGTGATGTGATGAAGAGAGAACAGAACCAGTGATCTATGTATGGAGGAGGAGGAGGAGGGAGGGGAGGAGGAGGAGGGAGAGGAGGAGGAGGAAGTCAGTGTGTTCTTACCCCAAAATAGCCTCTTTTCAGCCCAGCTGCAGTTCTCAGGCTATCTAATTGCTATCGCAGTAGGAGAGAGAGAAGAGAGACTCATTGAGGTCAATAATTGTACAACCATCATTACTTCTTATCAAGTCAACCCAGTAACAGTGAGATACGTTGTTTTTCTCCATAACTATTACCATGCACTACTGTGAATAACACTTAGAATGTGAAGCTTTTTTTGAAAGCAGTAGGATCCCAGTAGAAATCCATTGTTGAAAGAATTCAGACCTAAATTAACCTGAGTGTCAAGTCCACCGCTTCCCCAAATGACACTTGTTCTGACCATAGGAGATCTTTTACTTTTAGAATAATTTACATGAGCAAGCACTGTGACATGGTTAGTGACGCATAAAGGGATATGACACATGGCACTCAGTAGAATCATTTGGTGACATCAGTTCTAAAGAACAAACAACCCTGTCACTCCTATTTTCTAAGGAAGATCTCTCACTGTTGATAGAAATGGGTCGTTCCGGTGGTTCAGGTTCACTAATTTACCTTAAATATACATTGAAATGAAATGCAGACAGCCCTGAACCACATGGAGTCCTTATAATTGGAACACGTATGTCATACTCAACATATTATGTAGAATTGATGTTTGGGAATTAGAAATAGAAAGTAGCTGTGGTCTGTAGAGACACCTGTAAAAACAGAGGCTTTGTCGACTTGAATTCCAGTTGACTCCCATGGGAAAGGCGTGTGCTGATCGAAAGACAAGTGTTTCATCGAGAAACATGAAAATATGCGGAATAGAAAGGGAGGTGTGGAGGAAGGAAGAGATCACACCCTGTAAAGGGTTTGCCAGACAGAAACAATTTCTACCACCCATACACAAAAATGTTTGGCACGCATGACTGTAAGTCGCTTTGGATAAAAGCGTCTGCTAAATGGCATATTATTATTTTTATTTCCTGGTTCCCAGTCAGTGTGAAACACAGCACTATTCCCTATATGCCTCCCAAATGGTACCCTATTCCTTATATTTAGTGCACTCCTTTTGACCAGGCTGTAGTCAAAAGTAGTGCACTATCGGGAATAGGGTGCCATTTGGGACACAGCCCCTGACTAGCCTGGGAGTACACTGACCACAGAATAAATCACTAAGCTGCAATCACGTCGTTACTGTATGTGCACATACGTCCATGTGCGTCCACATCACAGTGAAGAACGACATCATTGCCAAAGATCTGTACCCCTGTACATAAGAATGACAGTAGATACTATGATAGGAGACCGCATGCTCATGTTGGCATACACCTGCACATTCTCAAAAGGCTCACATGCATAACACTGCTTCTAATGATATGTAATCTGTGAGGTTATCAAGTTGACGTGGGGAATTCACAAAATGTCACCAAAGGAGCTTTTCAACAATGTTTACTGGAACGGTAGAGGAAGAGATTGAAAGGTTGAGAAGAAACTATAGCCAACAATCAAGTGCAACTAGAGACAGGAGGAACTTGTTGCACGCATAGGCCTACTAATTTATATTCATATTCAAGCTTCCATTCTAGCCACACCTCTTTATTGTTCTCATAGTGTTATGATAGCAAGATACTATACAGAGGTCTTCTTTACTGTCAGAGAGTTCACTCAAGTGTTTCTTTGCATTAGTTACTTGCTTCCAGCTTTGAATCTGAAGTGAGGTCTGGGTTCCCACAATGTAGGGTAAACAGTGGACATTACCACCCTTTGATGTGGGACTCAATAGTACAGCCTCAAATAAACATTTAAGCACCACTAATCTGACACTAGTTTGTTAACTATTTGATTTTATCAAATGATGAAATTAGTTGAAATTAAATTGGATGAATAATATATTATAGTAAATAGCCTTCAGAGGAAAAGCATGATGATACAGTTTACTATCAGTTTCCTTATTAGGAAGTGGTCCTGTGATTGTAAGATGAAAAATAGATGTCACTTAACAGCAGGAAATCGTTCCCCCCAGCCAATGTGTTCCTTATTCCTAGACTCTCATTTCATTGTTGCTTGCATTAAGTAGGTGCTTAATACAATGCATCAAATACCCACTGAGCTCTGAGACGGATATTGATTTGTTAAATGTTGATTGTTAAACATCTATTTATAATGAACTGATATGGCAATATCAATTAGAGTATACAGTAGATATAAAGTCACTCTTTACAATTATCTAATATTTTTATAGAAACCACATCAATGTTGTAAACCTCATATTGGTGTATAATAAAATCTGATAAAAGGTTTTCTATTTACAGGATCACAGTACAGTATATACAATATTATAAACTGGGTGGTTCGAGCACTGAATGCCGATTGGCTGAAAGCCGTGGTAGATCAGACCGTATACCACGGGTATGACAAAACATGTATTTTTACAGCTCTAATTACATTAGTAACCAGTTTATAATAGCGATAAGACACCTCGGGGGTTTGTGGTATATGGACAATATACTACGGCTAAGGGCTGTATCCAGGCACTTCGAGTCGCGTCATGCTTAAGAATAGCCCTTAGGTATATTAAGCAATAAGGCCCCCTCGGGGCTTATTGCTTAATTGTAGGACAATATATTGCCATGGTAGTAATGTCCACACAGAATGAAACAGAACACTGTATTATATTTCATGTCTATGGATGTCCATATCCGTGGCTGCTGTCCTTTCGGTTGAAGCTGTGTTACTGGGCTTACTGACGACAGCCAGGCTGAGTTTGAGGTGAGTCCTGGCCTTGGTCCACCAGCGGCCCCAGTGGAACACTCTGAGGAAGGCCTGCTGGAAGTTGTCCCCAGCCAGGGTGTACAGAGCGAGGTTAAAGAAGGTGTTGAGCCCCGCTATGGGCCTGGACAGGATATAAGCGGCGTGGACCCAGTGCTCCACCATACATGACGTCTCGGGCTTCCTCCTGGTGTCTACTCTTAGTATCCTCAGGACGTGGTAGGGCAGGAAGCACACCACAAACACCACCAGGATCACTACGGTGAGGCGGCGTGCCCGCACCCGGCGAGGGCTGTGGGTTTGGGGCCCCTTGGCTAGTTTCCGGACGATACTGGAGTAACAAACCACCACCACCACTAGGGGCAGCAGGTAGCCCAGCACGGTCAGCAGCCAGCCGTACCACCACAGAACAGTCGGGTCGTTGCTAGCAAAGTCCAAACAGGTGCTCTTGTTGTTTCGCTTCTCCATGGTGATCATGGT